TTTCAAAGAGGGTAACCACGGGTTATGACCTATATTATATTATCACCCTATGTGAGGGTCTTGGAAATTGAAACTTTGATTATACTTAGTATAGTTGTCATTGTACTTGTCAAATGCTTCCAAGTACTGACCTCCCCTTCACGGGGGAGGCCACCTCACAGTTTCAGGTAGGAGTTGAGCTCGCTACAAATACTCGTTGCTTCGAGGGAGGATCCAGGAGGGAAGACGTGGTTCGTGCTTCCTCCGTTTCTGTTTTTAAAACAATTACATTAATGCTCATGGATATTATTTTTGAATAATTATTTGAGGGCTTGTATGCCCATGTTCGCCAAAGTGTGGCATAAACACTTTATTAAATGTTTCCGCTGCTTTAATTAATTATTTTACATTATGATTGTTTATGGATGTACTATTGTGAATGGTATTCAAGACGCCTTGTATGGTATGGATGAGTTGGACTGCGGTTGACTATTCGTACTGTACGGCGGGTTGTTGACGTGTCCGGTAGGTCCGGGGCGTGACAATTTAATTGGTATCAGAGCCTTAGTCCGTAAACTTCATAATGAAGCTTCAAAATCCTTTTTGAAAATGATTTTGAAAACCGTGAGCATAAAGTTTTGTACTTATAGAACTTTTGGTACTTGAGTTGCAAGGTCTCTAATTGTTAAGATGGTACCCTTAACAATTGGTATGATGGTGATTCGAGCCAAAATGTGTCTTTAAGTGCCTATCCGTCAATTGACATTTGATACGAGTCTAATGGCTCATTCTCAATTTCTTTCTGCAATGGATCGTACCGGGAAAGTAACTAGAAGGAACCCGACTGGCCAGGCACCGAGAGGGTCCGTGCAAGGCAGTAGAGGGGCTTCTAGAGTGTCCAGGGGACAAGGCCGTGGAGGCCAAGCTCAGACCGTGAGTGACGGTCATGTTGAAACAATAAATGAGTCTTATGAGTCCGAGGAGGATTCAACGTATCAACCGGGAACTGAGCCAGTTGAGACCCCATATGATGGGGAATATGATGATGACAATGATGAGGAGGGCGATGATGATGACGCTCTAGAAAGGATGGAGGAACTCCTCCGCCAATATCAACAGGATCGCCAAAGGCGCCGGGCAAGGCGTGCTTTGGGAGGGGCTTCAAGAAGGGGAAGCCATGTGGGGTCTAGGGGACATGTAGAGTCCCGAGTAGATCGGGGTGTTGAGGTCCCAATAATAAGGATCTCGAAGTACCTCAAGGAAGCGAGAGATTTGGGGTGTAAGCCGTTCGATGGAACGGGAGATATCTCCGTTGCGGCGGAGTGGATCAAGAGATCCAATGAAGCGGCTCTTGACATGGAGCTGCCGCCGATCATGAAGTTGAGAGTGGCAACGAGGTTGCTAGAGGGAATGGCGTCCACGTGGTGGGACGGTGTTAAAGGGAAGTATGGTGAGACAGTCACTTGGGAGAACTTCCGCCAAGAATTCTTCAATCAATACTACTCTGATTTCGAGGTGAACTTGAAAAGGAGAGAATACACCAACTTGACCCAAGGAGGCAAGTATACTGTGAGGCAACTTGAGCACAAATTCCGGGAGCTTGCCGAGTTCATACCGGAATATGCATGTGATGAGAACCGGATGGTGAACCACTTCTGGGATGCCTTGGACCTTGACATACGTGAGAGGGCAACACAATTGCCTAATATGACGTTTAGTCAAGTTGTTGAGCAAGGCTTGAAAGGGGAGAAAGAATGGGAAGAAAGAAAGCGAAGGAATGCCGAGGAGGCAAAGAAAAGAAAATGGGAGAACCAAGGCTCCCAAGGTTCCAATAAGAAGGGGAACCACGGGGGAGGGAGCTCATTTAGGACCCCTGCACCGCCATCGAGAGGAAACCCGGGAATGAGTGGACAACACTCGGGATCACAAGCCTCAACAGCGCCCAAATGCAAGAATTGCAAGAGGAACCACGTGGGCAAGTGTCGTGATCCCCCGAGGTGCTATCAATGTGGCGATACGGAGCACCTAAGGTCGAGTTGCCCACAACTTGGGCGAGCCGTGAGTGCCGGGCCGAGTGGTGGGACCACGATGAGCAGGAACCGGACAGCGGCACCTCATGCAAACACAGGGCACGGTGGAGCTAGCACAAGCAATGCACCGTCCGTTAATCAAGGGAGAACCCAAGCGAGAGTCTATGCGATTACGGAGGCCGATGCACGTGCTAACCCGGACTCCGTCGCGGGTAAATTCTTGAACTTTTGATGTTATCCCCTTGTAAACAATATAAGTGTTAAAATGTACACGTTGTATAGCCAACCGGGAATGTGCAAGTTCGAAGAAGTGGATGACTATCCACCTGGGACGAATGCCGCCCGGCATTGACGGAAGCCGCCCGGCTTTCGCCTTCGAATTACTTGCAAAATTCTACGGCGACTATAAGGCGCCCGACTTTGACGAAAGCCGCCCGGCTTTCTTACTTGATTTTTGCTAAAATCCTTCGGCGGAGAAAAACCGGCCGAGTTTTGTAAAAACCGGCCGGCTTGTGTTCAGGCGTCTCCGGTGTGAGGCGTTGCTAATGAAAACCGGCCGGCATTCGTAAGAACCGGCCGGCATTCGTAAGAACCGGCCGGCTTTTATAAATAAAAAAAAAAAACTGAAACTCCTACGGCGACGAACGTCGCCCGACATTCGTGAATCCCGGCCGGTGTTCGTTAGGAACAAGGAAATGCTTCTTAACCGAAACCCGGGCGGGTTTGAGGTGGAAATTTATTGAATAAATGTTCGGCGACCAAAAACCGGCCGGCTTTGGCAAAAACCGGCCGGCTTACGTAACCGTTCCTTCCGAGCCGAGGGCCAAGGTACGAAGACCGGCCGGCTTTCATGAAAAGCGGCCGGCTTTCCCTTATTAGTGCACGGTGTTGATTTTTAGGTGGGAACCGGGATGGAATCGGGATGGGGCGTTAGCTGACGATCATCCAAACCATAGCCGGGGTACTCTATAACCTAAGAAATGAGTCTAATAAGTAGGGAGTGTGTCTTACATTGCTTATGAATGTAGGAACACTAAAGATTAACGGGAGAGACGCAAGAATCCTTATTGACACTGGGGCGCAACGATCATTCGTGAGTGAGGCGTTTGCCGGGGGATTCAAAGAACCACTTGTATCGATGGCTCAAGCCCTATTGGTATCCACACCTCTAGGGGAAGACATCGAGAGAGATAGCCACTATCCATCGTGTGAGGTGGAAGTGGAGGGCCAAAACTTGACGTGTGATTTCGTACCGCTGAGTATGATTGAATTCGATGCAATCCTGGGGATGAATTGGCTTGAGAAGCATCATGCTAGGGTCGATTGCTACACAAAGATACTTGAACTCGAAGGCGATGAAGGAGCAACCTTACGCTTCGAGGGGGATCGGGCCAAATCCAATAGTTGCATCATATCCGCCGTGAGAGCTAGGAGTATGATGAGAAAGGGTTGCCACGCATACCTAGCATATGTGGTAGACAAAACAAAAGAAGAGACGAGCATTGATGATGTGAGGGTGGTGTGCAAGTATCCGGATTTCTTTCCAAAAGATTTACCGGGACTCCCACCCGATAGGGAGATTGAGTTCGTGATCGAGGTTGAGCCCGGCACCAAACCAATCTCTATACCGCCATACCGTATGGCACCCGCTGAACTTAATGAGTTGAAAACCCAATTGCAAGAGCTTTTGGATAACGGCTTCATTAGACCAAGTCACTCCCCGTGGGGAGCACCGGTTCTTTTCGTGAAAAAGAAAGATGGGACACTTTGAATGTGTATCGACTATCGTCAACTGAACAAGGTCACAATCAAGAATAGGTATCCTTTGCCTAGGATTGATGACTTGTTCGATCAACTCCGAGGAGCAACTGTATTTTCAAAGATTGACTTGAGGTCGGGGTACCATCAATTGAAGATCAAGGAAGATGACATACCAAAAAGTGCTTTCCGCACAAGGTATGGGCATTTCGAATTCCTTGTTATGTCGTTTGGGTTAACAAACGCCCCCGCGGCATTCATGGACTTGATGAACCGAGTATTTCATAAATACTTGGACCGATTCGTGATTGTGTTCATAGATGACATCTTGATTTACTCGAGGAGTGAAGAAGAGCATGAAGAGCACTTGATACTTGTTCTTGAGACACTACGGGAGAAGCAACTCTATGCCAAATTTTCTAAATGTGAATTTTGGCTAAAGGAGATTGGCTTCCTCGGGCATGTAGTTTCGGGATCGGGAATTGCTGTTGATAACATGAAGATAGAAGCCATTACCGAATGGGAGAGGCCAAAGAATGTCAAGGAAATTCGTAGTTTCCTTGGTTTGGCAGGCTACTACAGAAAGTTCGTGGAGAAGTCTCTGTTTTGGCATCACCATTGACGAAGCTCACTCGTAAAGGAGCTAAGTTTGTATGGGATGACAAATGTGAGAAAGGGTTCATTGAACTAAAGAAGAGGTTGACTGAGGCACCGGTACTCGCATTACCCAAACAGGGTGTGGGGTACGATGTCTATAGTGACGCAAGCATCCAAGGGCTTGGATGTGTGTTGATGCAGGAGAGAAGGGTAATCGCCTATGCTTCACGACAGTTGAAGACGAAGCATGAGGTGAATTATCCTACTCATGATTTAGAGCTCGGGGCAGTGGTATTTGCACTAAAGATTCGGAGACATTACTTCTACGGGGAGACATGTCATATATACACTGACCATAAGAGCTTGAAATACGTGTTTACTCAGAAAGAGTTGAACATGAGATAGAAGCGATGGATGGAGTTGATAAAAGACTACCATCTTATCATTGAGTACCGCCCCAGTAAAGCCAATGTGGTGGCGGATGCCTTGAGCCGAAAGAGTTCGTCTGGGGCATTGTTGACTAGTTTGAGGGCATTGAGAGCCCAATTGGAGGTACCTAGCGATGGTGCCTTATTGACATGATTTGAGTGAGACCTACTTAACTTGATGAGATCAAGAAGAGTCAAGAGACTCACAAAAAAAACTGATGAAGGTCCGAGAACGCATGCTAGCGGGATCGGTGGAGGATTTCAGGGAGAGACAATGGTCTCCCCACGATACATTGGGCCATTTGTAATTCTTGAGAGAATTGGGGCTGTAGCATACCGATTGCAATTGACTCCAGAATTGGAGAAGATACATAACGTGTTCCACGTGTCTATGCTTAAGAAGTATATGCCAGATCCTTCTCATGTACTAGAGAAACCACCCGTGGAAATACGGGAAGACTTGAACTACGCCATGCAACCGGTAAAAATACTTGACAAGCAAGTAAAGAAGCTAAGAAGCAAGAAAGTTCCAATGGTTAAAATCCTTTGGAAAAGTGACCGAGTTGAGGAAGAAACTTGGGAAGCGGAAGCTTTAATGAAGGAGCAATATGCATTTCTGTTCGAGTAAGCATTGTGAATTTCGGGGACGAAATTCCCATTAAGGGGGGGTGAACTTGTGACACCGCACCCGGATGTACTTGAATTTGGAATTTGATATATATTTGAATTTCCTAACGAATAAAATCGCGTAACGGAATTGGTATATTTAATTAATGCGTGATTAATTAAATTATTTATCGGGTCCCTAATAATGGGAATAGACTCCCAAATATTTAGTTGGGCCATGGAAAGGGCATGGAGTTGACCTGTTGGTCAAACGAGGCCCAATTATCGGTATTGGTAATTTATCGGATAACAGCCCGAAATGAATTTCGGGGACTCCTAAATTAATGTTGGGGAACATACATCTTCTCTAAAGGCCCATGATTATGAGGAACGCGTGATATATTTTATTTGGCCCGATAAAGTAAAATATAGTTAAAACAGTCCGAGAAATACAACTTTCGGGGCCGGTTGTACACACCGGGGCATAATGGGATGACCTCCCACGCGAGTGGGGGCCACCCCACGTTTTTGTATGCACTAGTTGACTAAAGGGGAGCTGGAGGAACATGAATTGAGTGGCATGTGCGGACTAGTGAGTGAGGGGATGGGTAGAGACAAACCCATACACCCCATGTCCTCTCTTAGTACTATTCTTGGTCTTTGATTGAGAGTAGATACCTCCCCCCTATCATTGAGAGCCATTCGAACCATACAAGGCAAGAGAGAGCTCAAGGGAAAGTCTTCAACAAGGTCCAAGATTGAAGGCAACATCAACAAAAGAAATCCAAGGAGAAAAGAGTTGTTCTTGAGGTAAGAACGCAAGTATTATCCTTTAACTAGTATTATTTTTGTATGATTTTTAAGAAATCATATGATGGATCAAACATGAAGTTCTACACGTTTAAAAGTGTAGAATAATGTTATAAAGTGGTGGTATTTAACTTAGAAGAGTCGTGGAATCGATAGGAGTTGAAATCGCCGGAAACCGCCAAGTATAGGAGGCTGTTCGTAGCTGCAGACCACGAAAGCCGCCCACCTTTTGCAAAAGCCGCCCGGCTTTCGTCTGCTGGTTGGATTTTCCACTTCTAATCGACCTAGAACGAGGACGGATCGAGGGGTTTCACTAAGGCAGCTAGTTGAGCACATCACAAGGTGAGGATGGCTGACTATATTTCTTATAATCTTTGGGTTAATTTCATAAGATTACCTAAAGTAATTAAATGTGATTTTCATGGATTATTAATGATTAATAATGCCTAAATGAAAATATCATTGTTTGTGAATAGAAGATGCATAACATACAAATTTATGAGAAATTGTGTATGATGATGCATAATAAATGTGAAGGTATAATGATTGTATAAACCATGAATTTTTGTGATAAAATATACTTTTACTTCATGTATAGAAATCATGAACGGATAAAAGTGATATTTTTGATATTGAGATTAAATCGTATACGGATTAGAAAATCCATAGGAATGAGCCTTATAACTATGAGTTAAGGAGCTTGGCTGTTTAAAGATTTATGGATTAGTATTTAATTTACTAATCGGGAATGTTGTATAAAAAGTGATAGAACAATCCTAAGGACTTGGATTGTGAAGGATGCACCTTAAGTAGTCTTATGAGATGCCTTAAGGTAGGAATGGGTAACCACTAAGTTACATTAGGAGTAGGCCTCATTGGCTACTCAAGATTGAGGAACTCTAGGCATAGAATTTGCTAGTGAGTTAGTATCGTGACTAGAGGAAGCCTCTAGCACGATGAAGAATGACTGGAGGAAGCCTCCAGCATTCGTGTAGGACGAACTAGTATCGTGACTAGAGGAAGCCTCTAGCACGATGAAGAATGACTGGAGGAAGCCTCCAGCATTCGTGTAGGATGACTAGAGGAAGCCTCTAGCATAATGTAATGTGACTGGAGGAAGCCTCCAGCACAAAGTATGTAAGGTGATTAGAGGAAGCCTCTAACACCGAATTTAGTGACTAGAGTAAGCCTCTAGCACGGCAAAACATGACTAGAGGAAGCCTCTAGCATGGTGAATTTAATATAGATGGGCGTGGCTTGAAGTCACGGGGAAAGGGTTGAACGTTTTCAAGGTAAAACATGGGTCTTCGGGCCGACTACTTGACTTTATATATAAAGTAAGTATATTTTCAAAGAGGGTAACCACGGGTTATGACCTATATTATATTATCACCCTATGTGAGGGTCTTGGAAATTGAAACTTTGATTATACTTAGTATAGTTGTCATTGTACTTGTCAAATGCTTCCAAGTACTGACCTCCCCTTCACGGGGGAGGCCACCTCACAGTTTCAGGTAGGAGTTGAGCTCGCTACAAATACTCGTTGCTTCGAGGGAGGATCCAGGAGGGAAGACGTGGTTCGTGCTTCCTCCGTTTCTGTTTTTAAAACAATTACATTAATGCTCATGGATATTATTTTTGAATAATTATTTGAGGGCTTGTATGCCCATGTTCGCCAAAGTGTGGCATAAACACTTTATTAAATGTTTCCGCTGCTTTAATTAATTATTTTACATTATGATTATTTATGGATGTACTATTGTGAATGGTATTCAAGACGCCTTGTATGGTATGGATGAGTTGGACTGCGGTTGACTATTCGTACTGTACGGCGGGTTGTTGACGTGTCCGGTAGGTCCGGGGCGTGACATGCATGGTTTGGGAAATTCAGTCAATCCATTGAACGGTTTGGAATGATAAAAGGTCAATCAGATCACTCTGTCTTTTACAGAAAAACGAAAGCAGGTATCACATTGCTTGTGGTGTATGTCGATGATATTGTGATTACAGGAAGTGATACCGCAGGTATTTTGGCCCTTAAGAATTTTCTTCATAGCCAATTCCAAACAAAAGACCTAGGCTCATTGAAATACTTTCTGGGTATTGAGGTAACACGGAGTAAGAAAGGCATATTTCTATCTCAGCGTAAATATGTACTTGATTTACTAACTGAAACAGGGAAATTGGGATCAAAGCCAAACACAACTCCCATGGTTCCCAATGTGCAACTCACTTCAGAAGGCATACCATTCGAAGACCCAGAAAGGTACAGAAGATTGGTTGGAAAGCTTAACTATCTCGCAGTCACTCGTCCAGACATTGCTTACTCTGTGAGCGTAGTGAGTCAATATATGTCATCTCCGACAGTTAATCATTGGAATGCAGTAGAGCATATATTATGTTACTTGAAGGGGACACCAGGACGAGGTATTGTTTACCAAAATCATGATCACATGAGAATAGAATGCTTTGCAGATGCTGATTGGGCTGGATCTAAAGATGATAGGAGATCCACATCTGGCTATTGCGTCTTTGTTGGTGGTAATCTCGTCTCTTGGAAAAGTAAGAAGCAAAATGTGGTTTCTCGTTCGAGTGCTGAATCAGAATATCGGGCTATGGCACAATCGGCATGTGAGATAATCTGGATAAACCATTTGCTGAGTGAAATCGGATTGAAGACACCAATGCCTGCTAAACTCTAGTGTGATAACCAAGCTGCTATACACATTGCCAACAACCCAGTGTTTCATGAGAGAACAAAACATATTGAGGTCGATTGTCACTTTGTTCGAGAAAAGATACAACAAGGATTGATCTCTACAGGATATGTGAAGACTGGAGAGCAACTTGGAGATTTGTTCACTAAAACATTAAATGGAATTCGTGTTGGTTATTTATGTAACAAGTTGGGCATGATAAATATCTATGCTCCAACTTGAGGGGGAGTGTGAAAGACATTAGAATATACTTTAGAATATACTTTAGAATATTCTTCTATCCTTAGAATATACTTTAGAATATTTTAGGAATATACTCTAGGATATTATTATTGTATAGAATCTTATAGGAATATTCTATCTTTGTAATGTATATTTATAGGGACTTAACCCTCCAATGAAATACACAGAAAATCTTTCCTCCTCTCTTCAATATTATATTTTGTAGTTTATATTTCAACATTAATTAATAGCTACCACTGAAGAGTTTAGTTTTGAATTGTCAACCGACAGGACTCACAAGAGCCACAAAGATATCGCAGCCATATGGGAAGTCATATCTAGGCTGAGGAGTAACTACATGGGTTTGATCAGAGTCCAGATCAAACCATATGTAAATTGATTTGAATTTGGTATCATTTATTTCAAGCAGTGTTAAACCAAATTAAAACAAAAAATTTTTTGTTAAAACTGAAGATAAATTAAAAAAATCAATAAAACTTTCATATATTATTAATAGAATAACAAATTCAAACCAAATCGAACAAAAAAGTAATACTCACCCTAGCTAAATATGATTTTTCTTTGATGCTCATTCTTCCAATTCATTTCAAATAAACCAATACAAATCAAATTGAAACTGATATTCCCACCCTAGCTACTTTAACGAAAGAGTTACATTGTTGAAATAGCTACATTAATTTATTTTTTGGTCGGTATAGCTACTTTAATTGCACGCCAACGTGAATCTGACCTTGTGATCCTAGATCATTCTAAGGTGTCCTTCAATGATCCAATTGTACTTGTCAAAAGAAAGCTCTTTTAGTTTTTACAAGTAAGCTATACATTAACTATACTTAATAAAACACTCTACTTGATTAAATGCTATTATCATATATATGCTCTCGAATCAATGGCTCAGCTCCGGAAACACACCATATGCATAGGAGCAAGCAAAGGTACATTCTAAAGAGTCTTTCTAGGAGAGGTCGTTTACTTCTTAGCATTTACCTGTATATGTTTTGTTTGATACACTTTTCTATTTGGTATGTATTTAAAAGTTTGCTACATTTTTTCTTTTAACAAGTTTTTCCTTTTAAACTATTCAATTATCTTTATTTTCCCCACATTTTATTTCTTTTTCCTACTTTTTCACCTTCTCTCTTACTTTTTTTACATTATTCATTACACCCTTAAATATTTTGAAGATTTAGGCTTTGTTTGTGTTTGCTTGTGCTTATTATTAAAAGTGATATTTTAGAGATTATTGAAAAAGTGATTTACAGTAAAAGTAGATAGTTTTGTAAATAGAAGTGATTTTGATTAAAAGGTAAAAGTTGAAGTGTTGGATAAAAAAGTGATTAGTGATATTATATATTGATAAATTACAAAAGCAAAATTGTAGGTTTGTAGGTGTAAAATTACAACAACAAAATATGCACTACGAAGACCCTCCCTGCAAATGCAGACCGGACCGCATCACTAGGGATTTAGGCCTCAAAGGTGCATCATTGTCGCTAGTTTTGGCGCCTCGCCATAGTGGGGTAGCAGTATCCTGAGTAGCCGCTGGTGTCACCGTACCGTTGAGAGCTCCTCTGTTTCCGTTAGTTTTCCTCCATTGAAGGTCTCGTATGTGCAAATCTGGTGTATGGTTGAATGGTTTGAAAACCAAATGTGGAAGCTAAAGAAAATGGCTTGCTGTCTCTGGCCGTCCTGTTGCTTGTAGCTTCGCCGGCGGACAACGTTGTTGAGCATACGAAAGATATTGGACAACATGGAAACCAGTTGAGAGAATAAAAACTAAAACACATGAAATCAAATGAAAAGGAAAAAAATACTCCCTATAAGATAATTGGCTTTAGGTCATAGGTGGGGATGGAGATCATTGGAGACAACATGCGGAGAAGATGAAGATCCTAAGGGTATGTTGGAACATGTATACAAAACAAGCCATAAAGATTTTCCTCAAACTTCAATTTGTTTACAACATTACGTAAAAGCAACTAAAAGCATGTGCGTAGCTGTGACCGGGCTAAACTTGCAAGTGTATAAGTGTCGATATAGTAATAAATTCCGGTAAAATACCGGGTCGAATCCATAGGGAAACGTTGTTTAATTAAGTCTGAGAGTATATGACTTTAAAGAAAGAAATAAGTAAAGTGCAGAGATTTTGATTTGTGTGTTGCTGTGAAAACAACAACTTGGTTCTTTTCTTTAATTTTCAGGAATATAACTTTAATTAATTTGAATTTAAGATGAATGATAACAACAACTAAGGCTTCGAGAATCACTTAAATGCTTTAATAGGGTTGAATATTAGCTCTTTGCCAATAATTATGAATACGATGTCGCTAATATATTCTCTACTTCGGTTAAGGCAGTGAGAGCGTGGTTTTCGTTACGTGTAAGTCCCGTTACGGCTTACATTCATCTACCGAAAACCCCATTGAATATCAAGACATCGCACGCGTATCATATAATACCAGATATATTTCTATTCTCGGTAATATATATATGTTTATCATTTAATGTTCATAGTTTAGACTTCAACGTTAATTGCAAGCATAAACTAAATTTAACATATTTCTATGTTGTACACCATAGTCATAAACAATCAAAATGTAAAGGATAAATCACAATTTATTGTTTAGAACTTTTATCAAACACCTAGTGTGCATAGAAGTTCATCCCTAGCCTTAGTTAAGAAATTAGCCTCTAATGCTCATATTAATCACAACACAATATTGAAATGTAATGGAACTTGAAATTACAAAGGAAATAATACCTAAACTCCAATTATTTCGGAGGTTGAAGTTTCCTCCTCAAGAACTTGAAGAAAATACCAAGAACAAAAATATAAAAGCTAGGAATTAATCTATGGAATGAAATATGTTTGCTTGATGAATTGAAGGCTTTATATAGGCTAAAGAATGACATATTTTAGTCTATTCGATCCCAACAATCAGGTATGGAGCAATATTTGATCAAGAGTTGAGGAAGGTGAAGTTTTCCCATAAAAAATCCTCTTGCACGACCTTTTGTTTGAGCTGAAATCGTCCCAACCGGCCCCGGTCACAAACAGGCTCGTTTAGTGCGAAAAAACCTTCCGACTGGCACCAGTTCTAGGCTGACCAGCGCCGGTTGCAGCGCCCAAAATTGTACTCCGTCTTTCTTCCTCCGAAATGGATCAAAAAGTGCCGGTTGTTGTACCGGGATTTTGGGAATGTTCCGATATGAATTTGGACATGATTCCTTCACCAAAGTTGTAGCTAATGACGTCTTCTATTCATCGAAACTTGAATGACATGATTTTATTCATCCAATCAAACGTTATGGCTAAAACACTGAGAGGTATGCATCCTGAAATCCCACCAGCAACATCTAACTTTGTTGGTTGATTGAGTCTTGTTCCTTTCATATTTTGGCAATGACGTCTTCATAAAATTTGTACCTTATTGAGTTAGCATTCACATGAAACTCGAATCGAGTGATTTCGAGTTCTATAGAATAAGTTATACTCAAAATATGGGTAGAACATCATTCTCTTGGTCCAAAAAGTCATTCATCGCAATGTTTTATGCTCTAGCTCTCATTCTGGAGGTATTTGCTCGATTTCTCTTCTTTTCTTCAACAAATACTTATAAATACTTATGTTAAACACAAGTAACTATAAGGGTTATCAAGCTGCTTCACCTTTTAGCCAAAACGCACTTAAAAATAAGCATAATTTCTTCTTTGCAAACATAACTTTTAGCTTTTCTAAATCTAAAAGCTGAAAAGTGCTTAAAAGGCATTGGCAAACATAGCCTTAATGTCATGATTAATAGGAAATGCCTTAACACCATGTACAGGAGGGAAGCGTATACCGCACAAACGACTATACGGTGACTACTGTATAGTCGGTGGCATTTTCGTAATTTAAATGAAATTCACGTGTTTCGCTAGATGAATATTAATACATTTTTAGTGATCACAGACCTATTTTGTTGAGTATTAGGAGTCTAACAATGAGCATCGTGATCTTTGCTTCATATTTTCTAATTTACTTTTTTTATTTCTTCTTTCATAAAAACTTTTAAATTATATCTATAATCAACTCATATGAACTTCGAATTCAATATGCAAATCTAATGTGATATGGTACTTTTGAAATATGCATTGATATGATATTTTAAAAATGAGTATACCATGAGTACAGATTGAGCATTCTTGAATTATAAAATGAGCATTGGTATGTGATGTGAGAATTGGTATGGGAATTAAAGATTAACTAAATTTAACGATTAAAAGAAAATAAATAAAATAAAATTGCAAGTGTGCGAGATTGATTTGTAAACTTATCAAAATCCAATCCCAACATGGATCAAATGCGTGTTGAAATATGAACTTATCAGTATGAAAATCATACGTTTTTTAGTTGAGCGAACATCAAGACATTTTCATTGAGCATCAAACCTCTGCTATTGTATATTAGAAACAACAATTGAGTATCATGATTTGTGCTCTCGTATTTGTAATTAACTCATATGTGAATCTAATGTAATATTATACTTTTGAAATATGCATTGATATATCATTTTAAAATGAGCATAACATCAGTACTACTGAGTACACATAACTTACTAAATGAGCGATTATACGAAAATAATAAGTTTTGTTAGTTGAGCATCAAGACATTTTCATTAAACATCAAACATCCTCTATTGAGTATCCGAAGTATGTAATTGGGTATCATGATCTCTGCTCCCATGTATATAATCTAACTCTTATACAAATCTAATATTATACTTTTGAAATATGCATTAATATGACATTTTAAAACGAGCATAAAATCAGTACCAAATGAATATATGTAACTTACAAAATGAGCATTGAAATATAATAATTTTAAATTAACAATAATTTATACTACG